GTCGGATAACAGGAAAAACTGAAGAACATCATCTGGTCTTTTCATTTTGACTTAATTCTGTCTTTCACTCTAGTTTTTTCTTCTTTTGTTCATGTAAATAACAGTCTGTAATATATGAGTTGAGTTAATGTTGAGAACAATGTGATTTAAGTTGCTTTGTAATTGTACGGAGTGTGACATTTTCTGATGAAATTTGAATGGGATTAATCCAAGTTTTGGTTTTAAATAGCATTGAAGAACATGTCATGCTAAAGGATGCACTGCATCTAACTAATCACTTGAGTTTTTGGAGAACTGGTAGAGAAGTTTCAGAATTGAAAAGTTTGCCAGGCCAACTTGGGATACCATAGTTAGGCAACTAATCAGCACATAGTAATAGCCCTTGTTCCTTTACCATACGACCAAGATCTTATTATCAAGTGTAGTTGTTTCAACATTTTGGTATTAAGTAGGGGTGAACACGGTTCAGTTTGATCAATTTTTGAGTCGGTTTTAATAAAAATCGATTAAAAAAGTTTACTCTATAAATCGACCGAATTGAACCGTGCAAGAAATCGGTTTCAGTTGATTAAAACTGACCAAAACTCAACTTTGGACGACAAGATTTTCTCAACATCATATAAAAGTAGTTACTGGCTGTCTCTTGGAGATGGTTGCGATTTGGGTTTTTGAGAAACCATGGTTCTTGAAGAAGGCAATGACAGAGTTGGGTTTATCTAAGGTTTCAAAGTTAACAAATTTAGAGGCATGCAAAGCAGATGCCGGAGACAACCCACAAGTGTTAATGAGGTAAGAAACTGCTAAAGATTACTGCTGATTTGAAATTATGGAGAATAATCTGAGAGAAAATCAATGGATTCTTTCGAAGAATGCAAAAAAGTTTCATAATTTCGAGAGGCTGTGATCTTGTCTCTTCCATGGAGAAGAGTTTCATAGCGATGCTGACTTTGTTTAACCCCCAAAATAATTAAAAAAAAATGGGGGGAGTCGGTTGTTCGGTCGGTTCGACAGGGAGGGAGTCCCCCTCGACGACCGAACCAATCGGCAGACGAGGCCGATCTTGCAATCGATGGTTGCTATGGCAACCATTGAGCCGAACCGTCGGTTGCTCGGTTGCAACCGACTGCTACTCACTGTTAGTATTAAGGACCCCTAATTTGAGTTGAAGCCATGGGAAGGAAAATGCCATTCGTACACAAGGATGATAATAATTACCTAACAAACGAGTATCTAATATTAGCCGACTCAATTAATTTACCATACACCATTCAAAAAAATTTAATTTTAATATTGATTTCAGTTTGGAAGTTGTTTATAATTCATAGACTAATTACTTTTAATTGATTGATTTAATTATGATTAAAAGATTATGCAAAATTCATTTTAGATGATGTTTTATTTCTATATACGAATTGAATTGAGTGTTTAAAGTCAATACTTATATCATTTCTAATTAAAATTTAACAGGTTCAATTTAAATCTAAATAAGATTAGGCAACTTGATTTGTTCTGGTTTGGGTACTTCAAAATTGGGAATACCCTGGCCATTGTCCCTGTTTGCACAATAAATAAAATGCGCCCATTGTACGGACCCAGACCGTTTTGAGTTAGATTCATATTCTTACATAAACCGAACGGAATTGAGCCCAATTAAAACCCACCAACTTGTTAAAGCCTTGGTTTTGGGGTTTAAGTCATGGGTTGAAACCTTCACAACAAATTGCACATGTTAATTTCCACTAAAACAAAGAGAGAAAAATAAAATAGGTTATCTACCTATGACCCTGGTGGTGACTGGTGATGGGAGACTTCACTTGATCCTGACGCCAGGAAACTATAGAAACAAGCAGGTTAATCAGCAACGCCGGTCATAGGGTGCCTGATTATTTTTTATCCTTTATGCTTTAATCTTAGTTTGAAGCTAATAAACAAAGGTCTTGCATCTTGGTAGTGTTATCATCCCTTCTAACATAAGGTCTTCCAGATTTAGAAAGATTGCCTCACCCCGCTGGCAGAGCTCCCAGCATGCTAGAGTCCCTTGAACGGGACATAAGAGTAAGGAAATTTCTACTATATCTTGTTAGTCATTTCTAAAGTGTGTTTAAATGGTAATGATTCACACATGACTTCAGCAAAGAAATACATGGATCAAGTAAAGGGAGAATGTCTGAAATGGAATGAAAGCACTTAATATCTTCAATTTGAGGTATCACATAGATGAGTACTGATTGAGTCATCATGTGACATGCTTCAGTATGAAAGCTAATACATTTAAATAATATATAGATAAAGCATAAAGGCACTAAGGATATAACCAATACATTTAGCGGATGATTGAGGAATTCAAGTTCTCTACTCTGGAGATTTCTACTACAAAGATTGTAAACCCCACTCAAATGGAAGGGAAAACCTTGGGATTCTACCATAACTTTGGATAGTGCAAAAGGATGGGTTCACAGATATTCAACGACCCAATACATAACAACAAGTCTGGACCAGCTACAAAAGTCTTCAGATAGTTGACAGGAACAACCGTTCTCGTTACCCAGAGAGAGGCCATGCACTACTTCAACTATGATGCTTATTTTTGTTCCTTTATTGGGTTATTTCCATTAACAACATTAAATAGAGTTCACTAGTAGCTGGTGCCACTCAAGCCTCATCCAAACCACAGGTGAGTTCTGCAGTTAATCCTTTGTGAAACTGGGTTCAGTTAATTTCTGAGACTGCCATGGCCAAAAGATTTGAGCGATCAACTGTTTGTCCAATAGTCATATGGTTTAAGTTTGAGATAGATAACCCAAAGCTTATCATATGAACTTCTTCGCAAATGCAGATGCAGTCATAACTACATTTTAAAGCCCAAGGAACATGTACCTTTAAACCTGAGCTCTTTGTCTGAATGAAGTTCTTAGAACGAGGTTCTCTTTGTACTTGAATCCGAGATAGCAACATTATTAATTTTCAGTTTCTTGCTTGGACCATTCCTGATCAATCTGAAGCACAGTTTTCAGTCTAGGATACAGAATTTCAGTTGCTTGCTTGGACCACTCCTGAGCAATCTGAAGCATAGTTTTCAATCAAAGAAGTACGTAACTGAACCAACCTCCCATCTTCATCCAAAGCAAACTCAACCATGGTTTCAGCATCTCTGAACCGCTGCTGTACAGTTGTCTTCTCATACAGTTGCCAACCTTTGGGGATTCAATTCCCATGGCTTGCCTAGAGCCTGTGAATTTGCAATTCCAGCTTCATCAAGGAAGCCTGCCTTTGTTCATGAATTAGGCAGCTAGTGCATTGTGAAAAATCTCCCACAACTTGCAATCTTCAGCAATACGCTGAGGCATACCATTGGGTGGTACAGCATCAACCAAACTAAAAAATCTTCTGACACTTTTCTGGACACTGGTGAATATTAAAGGATTCAAACTTTGAATTGGTGATATCAGAGCCATCTATTTTATGACAAAACTGAGAAATTTGAACCATCCAAGACTTGAAATTTCGTTGACACCCAACCATCTTAGTCAAGCACGTTAAACAATATACTTGAAAGCCCACTCATCTCAGTCTACCAATATACTTAAGGACATATTAACAGAATTGAGAAATCAAAAGAAGACTAGCTAAACTGGAAGCTGAAAAATTTTCTTGTCAAATATTGTGTGAAGACATAATGGAAATACCTCCAAAATGCCTGACTCCAATGATTTTGCTTTCAAAAAGAACGCATCATAATCGCATTCATTTTTTTTTTTTTATCATTACAAATAAAAGGGCAGAGAGCCAGAATCATGTCACACAGGGAGGAAAGATACCACATCTAGATTGTGGTTTCCATCGCTCGGTTCTCTTCACAATAGTCTTGGTCATTTCCGTTGTTAAGCCTAGAGTGTTCCATGACTGGCTACATAGGCAGCCATGCACAACAACTATCAAACTATATCTGCAGTTCAAAGATGTAATTTTCTTTCAAATGGTTCAATCGAGACCAGTATAAAACCTTGGTCAATGGATCACATGCATTGAAAAATAATAGAATGGACCAACATGAAGAGTATGATTGGATTACTGAAATTAAAAGTGCTAAAAGGAGAAACAGGAAATATGCTACCTGCAAAAAAACTCACATCATTACAATCAACTAAACATCAACAGCTGCAGTGATAGAATCTCATCAGATTATTTGTAGGAGGCCATTTTAACTCAAGAACCATGGGTATAAGAAATAAACAACAAAACAAAACTGCAGCAACTGAAGCATAACCAAGTTTGGCCAATAAAAATGATGAATAAACAGCTGGAGAATCTACTGAGTCAAAGTGAAGTCGAAATTACATAAAATAAAAATTTAATCCTGTTGATTTCTACATGGTCTAATGTTGTTTTATTCTTCTCCCTCCATCCTCCTTGTGACTCTTCCTTTCCACCACAAAACTTCATCTAGCTATGTACAACCCTTTGATATGTCTTAGAATAACCCTTGGATGATTCTCAATCATAGAAATGCATATTTTTGGAATAAATTATAAAAGAATTTTTCTGCCACATATACACAGTATAATTGCAAATAATTTAGCTATTGAGCTTTTGATTTTATTATTTTTAAAAAAAGTATCAATCACCTCAAAAGCATAAAAGATAAGAGCCAAGCAGCAAGGTTAGATATTCTGTCAAAAAGGCATCTATTCTATGCAAATGCGTGAGTTCATGCCTTCAGCACATATATAACCATCCAAACATAAGTTCTATTATTTTATTTATCCCCATCAAATGAGTCACTATATGAATGAAACAAGATTAGCTCTAAATTTTATAGAAGTAAGACCCAAAAGGGTGGTAAAATTACATTTTAATGAATTACCCGATTATCTTGAAGTTGTTGCACTATTGAATTCGGACTTGAATCAGGAGAATTCACATGAGAAGAAAGGAAAGAGAGTGCATGCACTACTAATTTCTGAAGAGTATACAAAAATCTCGCCTAGAAATCATCAATATTTTTCTAAGCACCTCCTTTTTCTTCTTCCCCTTGCCATATAACAGAATCAGATTGTTAAAACATCATTAAATTTGTTGCTGTTCCAACAACAAAAGGTTCCATTAACAATCGAGTCAAGAAGTAAAAAATGACACCCAATGTAATGGATATTGGGAGGGCAGGCAGTGCTCGGCGGCACACAGATAACAAAATAAGAGTGCACCCAGTCCTGAGATGATCGCAAGATAAACATGCATATACAGTCATTAGATCATACATGGCAGCCCTGCCTACCAGAACACTATAAAACACAAAGTCTCCAAGACCAAGCTTGATACCTCTACTTGCTATCACTGAATCCTCTGTACCATCCCTCCTTGCCTGCTCTCTCTCATTGTCCATCCCCAACAAGTCAACAAGAGGAGACATTTCCTCATCCACAACAATCTCAGATTCTCTATTGCGAACCACAGTAGAATACTCTGATGAGTTAGTATCTGATGAATACCTTTCTCTCAAATGACCAACCAATGGGGACCTTTCGCCTTCAACATTTTCTGATCTTCTAACCTGGATAGCAGCATACTCAGAACTGCAAACATTTTCACTTCCATCTCTACAGTCATTACTATTTTACACCGCCTGCAACTCAACTGACCCAGAATCTGAAACTCCACCAACAAGAAGCCCCAAACTTGATCGCTGATTTCCCTCATTGCGTGAAACTGTTGGCCGAGCTTCATATACCAAAGCAGGCAACTCCTCATCTCGGCTTGAGGCCAACTCCACCAACAACTTAAGGGGGCCACCAGGAGCCAAAACTGCCACCAAATCATACAAAGCCAATGCAACAAGCAAAGCCCATGTAGTCCATTCTGGCAATTTGGTAAACCATGTTGCCACAATATCCCCAGCGATACCATATACCCTTGCCTCAAAACAATCGGCATCCCACCAGAAAACACGGATAACACCCCAACAACGGTAAAAATGAAAAGCAGCAGAAAGCATGTAATTGAGTCAATTGGAATTGAGAAATGCTGGATTATCGACAAAAAGATTGAACCACCCATCGTACCTAACACCAAGAAGAACAATTCGACCTATGAAAAATCAAAATGCACAAACAAAACATGTGACAAGGAGAACAGCACCGAAAAAAAAACAAGAATACACCCTTGCCAATGAAATCAACAGGCAGCTAAACCAAATAACCAAATCAACCAGCATTGATATATGTTGGACCATCCCCAAAAAAAAATAATGAATTGCTACCACATGTAACATAATAAGAGAGGCAGCAAGAAGGAGTGAACAGCCCTAAGATCTTAAGTAAAACCGTTTCATTAACAATTGTCCCTAAGTTACAGAAGCAAGTAGAGATTAAATGCCTCGACTGACAACTGATGTGAGGATTCCAAATTTCTTGGAAGAAGATATTGTTTAAAATAGAAACCAAGTACCAGTAGGGCAGTGTTAGCAAAATCCTAACTGAAAAAAGATAGGGGAAAACAAAATCAAATCAGATTGAATCAATGAGATTCAATTATGTACATATACTTATAAACAAACCAAAACCCAGATAACAAAATCATCTAATTGATTAAGGAAACAGCTTTCAACATCAAATAATCAAAAGCAAACCAAACCCAAATGACTAAAACACATAATTAAGCAATAAAAAAACAGCTTTCAACGCCAAAATAATCATAAATAACTCAAGACCTACATTTCTAAACACATAATTAAGTCAAAGAAACAGCTTTTAACACCAAATATTCACAAATAAACCAAAACCCATTTTATCAAATGAGAAAACTAAGCCAAAAATTAACATCTTACCGAGTACAAAAAAAGCCGAGAATCGCATGTAATTCTTCAAAAAATTGGTGAAGTTATAGTAATAAAGCAGCACCAGAACAAACGTAACTATAGCGATGAGGATAACGAAGACCAAGGCATTGAGCAACGCTCCCTCGAGCTTCTGAGCAGCGGTATCAGATGGGTCTTCGAGGTAAACGAGATTTGCAGCTGTACGGATGGGAGCGGGAGAGGAAGAGGAAAAGGGGTTGGAAGGTGAGAGGGCGTAAACCAGAAGGACCACTAAGAGCATGCAAAGAGAGACTGGGGACATCACGCCGATGATTTCTTGGCCGATTGATTCTAAGATGCTCGACTCCATTGCTGATCTTTGACTGGGGAGTTTCGTCGAGCAGGTAGTGGGATTTGTTCCTTTCGCTTTTAGAGGCGTTCAAGCATTTTGATGCGGGGGTTCGGTTCAGTGACCGAATGTGGTGTGCAAGTTGGTTTTTGGCCTTTTTACTTTTGGTTGGGGCCTTTGGGTTTGCTTTGGTGGTAACACTCAAAGAGGACGGAAAGAATATGAGGAAATAAATTTTTATTTAAAACATTTAATAAAATATATGCTTCTTTCATTTTTTTTTTATAAATTTTTCGTAAAAAATAAAATTTATGTTTTATGAAGTTTTTTTTTTTTGGAGTGATTATGAAGTTTTATTACAGAAAAAGTTTTATCATATATAAAAAGATTAAGTACACTGTCTAAATTAATTAATTAATTAATTAATTTCTGTTTCACATATTACACAACCAATCAATCGCACATACATGTGTGTAATTGTGTACATATGTACAATCACCTATAAAATTTTCTCCCCTTTTTCCCATTTCTACCAAGTTCTTTCTTTTTGTTGATTATCATTATTTTTCTTGAACAGTTCTTGGAAAGTTTAACTTAAAGAAAAGGAAAAAGTGAGCCACCAATAAAGGAATTTGCCATTTTTATTCTCTTTCCTTCTGCATGTTGGTCTTGTCTTGCGCACCCAACCATGCATTAGGCAATATCTAATCTATTAATGTTATATGACATAATTATTAAAAAGAATAATGCAAAAAAATATTTTGTCATGAAAACATTAGTATTTGTTTTTTTTTTTTTTGCAAAGGTGCTATACTATATTATGAATTTGTAATATTAATTAATTGATATAATATTTAAAACAATCTCTATACTATTTTTAAAAAATTTAAATAAATCGTTATTCTTCTATTTTTTAAAAATAAAATTCAAAATTTTTACACTCTAGCATTGAAATAGTTGGAGGAAGATGGGCAGAGGATTAACTTAGTTGTTCTTTGTTTATATTTGCTTTTATTTGAATTATTTTGGTTGAGAACATTTAAGATTATCTCCAAAACCAAACACTCCAAAACCAAACAAAAAGGATTATGTTTTGTCTTGTGTTTTTTTATATTCATGATGTGTTTGGTGTGAAGATGAGCAAAGGAACTTCTTAGATTTTTCATTTAAGAAATTATACTAGAATGCATATATTTAGAAGAATAATGAATTACTACTATGTTTTCAAGTTCAACTTCATTAATAATTTGATTTACAAAATTATTCAAAAAAAAATGATAATGTATACAATGTTAAAATGTTAAAACTATTTCAAATGTAATGAAATCAAACAATATCTGACAATATTTTATAATAATTTTTAATAAAAAATTAAAAAAATCACATCAAATCATTTCATCGTAATTGAAATGGACGAAAATTTAATTCTGAATCAGTGTTCTCTCATGTTCTTTCCCTCTATCATGGTCATGGAAGCATATATTTAACTTTTTCAAGTGTCAACGAAGCATGCTCCTAGTGGGAGTTTGATGAGAATGGAGTTGTAGCCATTTTCACATTATTGGCTTGCTAATAATAAAATTTCAAGTGTAGCAACAAAATACTAATTAAAGAAGAAAAGAGAAAGTCCCAAATGAATCCAACAAAGAATGTGAATATGATTCCAATGACTTTTAAAACATATGTTCAAAGAATTACCATAAAGTATAAAAGAAATTGTGCATTATAATTTATTCAATTAAAAAAAAAAGGAACATAATCGGGTATAGATGTTCAGACCGGATCCGACTGGCCCATCATCTTCTACAACCGACCCTAACAACCATTTATTAGTTCTGGATCTTTACCGTTTAAAAATCAATCGCAAAATTACAAAAGAAAAAAAAAAGAAAAAGAAAAATGAGTTCGAAGAACGAACTGCCAGACGAGCTATGGAGAAAAATACTAGAAATTGGAATCAAATCCTCAAATTTCATATTCAAAGATCTTTGTTGTATTTCAATCAGCTGCAGGCGTCTCCAACGTTTATCGAATGAGGACTCACTCTGGTCCCACTTACTCTCCGTTGATTTCCCCAATCAAATCTCATCACCTCCATCATCCTCCTCCCCGAAATCTCTTTACAAAATAAGGTAAAGCCAAAGAAAATTATAATTCCTCAACTTTTACTTTGAAATTTATTTTTGTTTTTCGGTTTGTGTAGGTTTGAGAGAGAAAGAGAGAGGAAGTTATTGGTTTATAAAAGGGCGGTGTTGAGGAAAGAGAGTCAAGTTTCGGAGCATTTAAGGAAGCTTCGAGAAATTGAGGTTCGGTTAAGTGAGGAAAGAGAGAAATTGAAGTCTGCCGTTTCGGAATTGTCTAATTTACATAAGGTCAGGTAATAATTTCATGTTTAAAATTTGTTTTTCGAAATTGAGGTTGGTTGTTCTGAAGAAAGATTCAAGTAGAAATATTTAGATGAATGCATCTGAGATATATATATATATATGTATGTATATATAATTTGAAAGGTTTGTTTTTCAACTTTTCAGTTTAAAACCGAACCAATTTAAATATACCCTTGTTATTGGCATTAGTGATAAAAGAAATTGAGGTAAGAATGTTAGAAGCTAATATGTTATATTTCGAACAGAGTAATTTTGGGTTGTAATATGAATTAGTCTAATTTTGGGTTTAATACTCAGATAGACTTAATATGCCTGGCACCTTTTTTATATATATGAAAAATAGAAGATAGATTTTGTACTTGTGAGTGCTCATGGATGGAATCCTTGGGGTGTTGGGTGTTTCAGTCAAGCATCAGTGGCTTTGAATGTGTGGCAGCCGGAGGTTGTGCGCGGTAGGCAAAAACAAATGGTCGAGCAATGTGTTGTTCCAGTTGAATCTAGAATCCGTGCCCTCAAGATGGAAGTTAAGCTTTGCAACCAACAGCTACAAGTGTTTGATAAGGCTTATGTAAGTACTGATTTCTCACCGTGTCCTAGCATGTCTAATAATAACCCTGGTGGAGAATTGTGGATGATATTTGTTATGTTTCTGGTGTTTTAATGGTAGAGAGATGAGAAGCAAAGGCTTGATGCAGCTAAGGAGGAGTTGCAATCCATGAAATATCACCCTTTACGAGATTATAAGCTGACGAGTAATGAAAGCCATGAAAATAAGATGAAGAGGAAGAAGTTGAAAACATGCATCAACTGTAAGATTCTAGCTTATTCCTACATTTAGGAACACATCCAACATATATCTGGGGAAACAAATTTGTGCCTGTGATAGGGTTGTAACCTTTGCCCTATTTTCTCTGCTTCATTATTTTGCTATCTTCTAATGTTTTAGAACTACTTATTTCATTGCCTTCCTATGGAAATGTGTGATTCAAATTTTGTATTTCTTATTTTCTTGTTGCCTTTTGTTCTAATATTGTTTGCAATCTTCAGTATTACTTTTTCCCTTATAAGGTTTATATCTTGTTTTGCTGTACTATTGTTAGATTTAGATTCAGGGGGGAAAAACCTTTCAAATGAAGCTTCATTTGTTCTCTTATAAGGCATGTCATTGTTAATAGTTTAATTGGACTACAACTATGTTAAGTCCTTCTAACAGAGTAGTCCAAAGTCAGAGGGTAAACACCAGTTCTGCATTCCCCTTCCTGCGCTATGATATCCGTCTAGCATAATCTATATGGCAGGCACAACGTTTCATCAGCTTTAAATAATAAGTATCATCCATTTGAGCTGACAAGCTATAAGACTTACTTTAGAAAGGAATTTAGGTTGTGAAGATCCTTGGTTATGATGCAATACTCACTTTCCACCCAGAAGGAAATGAAACAGAGAAAAAGAGTTGAGGGATGGGTCGATACATGGTAGTTGCTAGTTTCCTTGTGGTATTCGGAAATTTGTTTGGAGGATTTTTCTGTAGCTATGAAATAAACCCTCCATCACCAGTTCTGATAATTATAACTAGGTTCAAATGGCGAAGGGCTATAAGATGTTCAGAAGTGTGAACATTTGTTTCAAGGATTTTTCTGTCCCTTGATACAAAGTGTATGTCAACAGTATGTGATAAGAGTTAGCTGTAATGAAAAATAAAGGGGCCAGGGAGCCAGTGACTTCCTAAGTGTGCATCCATTGGCATGGTAGGAAAAATCAAGTTCTCTTCATGAATCAAGAAGCTATTTTAGGGAATCTCCCAGGGATCTTCCTCCTATAATTGACAATTTTTTGGAGTATGCTTTTTTGTGTCATGATTCATTTTAAACATGCTGAAGCATAGTATTATTCTCCTCTCTTATGCTTCAAACGCCATACATGAATAGTGTTAATTGGTAAACCACTGTTAATATGAAAGTGATTGTGTTATCTAACTGAAAACTAAATGAACACAATAAACCAAGTTTAGGACTTGGGAAGAATTTTTTCCACATGTACCCCAAGTTGAAATGCTTCTATAATTGAAAAATTCTTGGAGTATGCTTTTGCTGAAGCATAGTATTATTCGCCTTTCTTATGCTTCAAACGCTATACATGAATACTGGTAAACCACTGTTAGTATGAAAGTGATTATGTTACCTAACTGAAAACTTAATGAACACGATAAAACAAGCTTATGACTTGGGAAGAATGTTTTCCACATGTAGCCCAAGTTGAAAATGCTGTTCTGAAATGTTTTGAATCTATGTTTGCTAATTATTTTGTTCATTAAATTTATTTTATTATTATTATTGTTACTGTTTCATGTAAAAGGCAAAAGTTTGCTTTGTGCTCACTGCTTGGCTGTTTTACTGCTAGTAGTATGTTCTTGATGGTTTATTCCAATCCCTGTTTATTTCTATTATTAGGTTTCTGTCATTCATGCCAGTCTGGGAACTGCAATTATTTATGATTTCACCTACACCGTCTGCATTTCTTGCTATAGATCCAGTTGTATATTAATAACTAAGATGTCCAGTTAATGTTCTTACAGCTCCTTGTAAACAAGGTAAAACAACATAGATGAGCATGCTTGCTTAATCGACTTGCTGCCCCGTACCATCTTCTGTATGGTTCTGGCCTTATGACATTATCCATTGTGCCTTTTTTTGTCTGTGGGGCGCAGAGAATGTGCAGAAATGTGGCATATGCAGGCCTTCCAAAGCTGAATGTTCATCAATTCCGATGTAATACCCTTGTACCGACCTGCGTTGTATTTATTTGAGTTGTAATGAGAATTATCACACAGAGATCGTTGTAATATCTTAATTCTTTATATTTTCGTTTGGTGGACAAAGACTTTATAACTGCAGAACATTAATCTCCCTGAAATAATCGTAAGCCTTCAGGTCTGTTATGCATCGGCTCAGAAGTTGCCGGCAAGGGCTCCAGCTACCGGGCTCCAGCTACCAGTCTGCCGTCTAATTTCCAAGGGCCTTTGGCCCCAGACAACGACAACCAGGCATAACAAGGGGAAGGGAAATGTGAAAAGGAAGAAGGAAATCTGGGGCTTTCAAGCCATAAGTCTTAGATTACCGTAGCCAATTCCTCAGCTTATTGCAACCCTTCCTGGCAAATCAATCTGCCCTCTGCTTGTAACAACAAATAAATCTGGAAAAAACTAACCAATTGACAGAGATATTGGCCCAAAAAGACATCATTGTGGAGAATATGGATTGATGCCGACTGTTCTAAGTCTCTGTTGTTTCGGCCTGGTGATCGAGTATCAGCCCAAATCTATGCGTTATAGTAAAAAAGTTACTTTCATCAAGAATATGGAATTTTTTGCCAACTCTTTTATTTTCATTATATTTAAAATATTCAACTAATACTTTTTTATTATTTTAAAAAAATAATATTTTTATTTCCTAACATTTTCTTTTCATAATTCAAATTAAAGTTTTAGGTAACAAAAATAATATGTGCAACCAATTAATTAAGAAAAAAAGTACTGTTTTGCATTTATTATTATTTACGATGCATGTGATGGAAAAATTATATAATGCATGGAGTGGGTTTAGGTATTTTCCATTGTTTCATTTTTTAGAATAAGGTACAAATGGTAGGAAATGATATTTTATCTTGAATTCAATATGTTCGTTGGGCAGAATAACTTAGGACTTTACTTGCGTTCAAGGATTAAGCCACCCAACCTGTTGCACGCTCTGCTGTTTGTCAGGAGTATTCCAAATCTTGAGTTTCTTCATTCAATTATTACTTAGTCAGAAAGTAAGCAGAGCATGGCAGTTTTCTTTTTTTCACTTTCTTTTCATCTTTTGCAATTATTTCGGATTCCTCAAACCTATTTAGACATTAAAAGTATTTAAGAAGAGATTTGCATGATAAAAACGTGCACGTTTTTAACGTGATTTTTTTTATTTCTCATTTGCATTAACCTTTTCATTTTATCTTCTTAAATTTCCAACCCCTAATCCTTTGGGAATAAGCTTTTTAAGTTTTACCTGTTTGAAGAAAAAATCTGAGTGTCTTTTAAAAGACAGTTAAATTTATTTTTATTAAACATCATCATTATTATTATTATTATTTTATAATTGAAGAAAAAGATTTGAACTCTGCTCTTTAAATAAAAAGATCATGTACCAATCAATAAATTAAATACTCTGATATATTATTATTATTATTATATTTACAAATTACACTTTTAAAAAGTAATTGTTCAATGATAACAGTAACAACAAAATGAAACGATGAAATTTTATTTAGAATTTAAGATTTCATCTTAAAATCAAATATATTTTAGCCTTAATGGATTGCTTGCCCCTTGAATTCTCTACGTCTAATGTACAATATTTGGTTGAATGCAGTCTTGTTTGTCTCACTGTAATGAATCAAAAGCCTTTCTACGTACGATCAGTCGTGTTAAAGAATGGAGGATCGACGAAGCTGAACAAATTAATTAGTGTTATTTTTTACTCTGTTAATATATATAGAAAGGTTCTTTTGGCTGAACAAAAGAAATATTTTTTATTGTCATATAATTTAATTTATTGAAGAACTAAAATACTGATGGATCAACCAATAAGTGTTATAGGTTACTCGTTTGTAGATATATGTGATCTATCCAAAATTAACTATTCGAATCGAAATTCCTAATAAATTCTGCACAATTAATTATTTGATACCATTGCAAAGCTCTTTACATCATGGTTTCCCTAATTATATATAGCTAAGATCAAATTTACTACAAAAAAAAATTAGCTACAAAAAAATATTAGCTTATAAATTTATTTATGTTATGAAGAAAGAACACAGTTGCATAAATAAATCAATCTTGTATCTTAACATTTAGTTAATTGATTAATGTATTATTTTTTATCTAAAAACAGAGTTTGAATCTTCTTTCTCTCCAAACAAAAAAAAAACGTGAAACTTGCAGTATCTTTATCTTCCTATCAGAGGAAATATAACTAGGCATGAAATTTCTGATCATGCTCGAGCTCTTCTACATCAACTTTCACGTACCTTTGCCTTTTTATCTTCTAAACTACTATACTACAGGGATAGGGAAGACATAAAGAAGGAAATAAATACAACCAATCTGCCAGCAGGGAGATGTGTTTAAGATGGTAATTTTTTTTTCAATTAAGTTAAAAATACTTTGCGAAATAGATATGGAATACTAATTATATTATCATATCTAATTGTTAATGTATATTGATATTTATAAAATATTATTTTATAAAAATATAACTGATGCTATTATAGTCATCGTTGTGGTATTTATAGTGGTGCTTCCATATAAAAAGACACCTATAAACAGCCTTATTACAAAACAAAATTTAAATAAAATCTCTAAATATACAATAAAATATATAATAACTCAATCTCCCTTAAAATTCTATCTTTAACTAGTTAATTTGTGTCACTTTTCATTAATTACATTTAACATTGAAAAATAAAATATATAGTAGCTCAATTTCTCAAAACCATCATTTTTTATAAATACTCACATATAAAAAGTTAAACAAAAATCTAGAACATCAACTGTGAGAAGCGAAAAATCTAATCCAAACATGCCCCAAACCTCAAGTTCATGCCTAAAAATCCAACCATAAACCAATTCCATTAACCCTCAATCCCACGCCTCAACAACCACGTGTCAAACTAAGAACCTTGTCAAGTATAAGCCAAAAACCCTTTGAAATTTCCTTTATATATAACAACTTTTTTGATTATTCCTAATTGTCAATGCCCAATCTATTGTAAAAAACATACATGAGATTATTTATTAGCTTAAGTAAGGCATCCATATGCATTTAAGTGTTCTCTTTATTTATATATAGTCAAGTTGATTAGTGATCTAAAATGCATGTACGTGTTTTTTTTTTATAATCAAGTTGATTTAGTGATTTGAAGTTGTATAATCAGTTATGTTATTGTTTGCTGATGATGAAGTAAAAAAGTGTAACTATACAAATTATAGTACTTGTTTTACTACTTATTTTTCTCAACTTTTTTCTCTTGTTTATATACATAAATTTTACACGATAAAATAGACTTCAAATGGGATATTTCAGTAATGATTTTATATGTGTTTAAGAGGAAACATACTTTTTAGCTATTGAACAAAGTAAAAAACCTAAAAACTTTGAAAACATTCATTTTGAAATTTTTATGAGATTTGTGTACCTTTATATAATTATCATAAAAAAAAAACTGACATGTAAGTAAGTAAGCTCATATTAGGGATTTAGTTGATTTTCATTTATTTGGTCGTTAAAAATTTTCTTTCATATTATTAATAAATTTATGAAATGAGATTGACAAAACAGTTGAACTTGTCCAATAGTTAAACTAGTATAAATGTCATTACACTTATAAGTGAACCAAAGTAATTGTCTTTTGAATTACAATGATTTACTCCTTGGGACAATATCATTACCAAGTACCAAGCAAGGAAACCCCAAAGGACTTCCTTTAAATATAGTTATGGATAGATATATAGCAATATTGTTGATTATTATGCTAAATCATATATATTCATACGCAAACAAGTATAATGTATAGAAAATTAATAATATAATTAAGATAATGACTTGACTTCTGTCTACTGACAGGCAAATAAATAAAGGGAGTTAGTCATGTGTAGAACAATAAATTTAGCACCAAAATATGTTACAAATGATAGATAAGTTAATAATTATATTTTAAAAGGGGTGAATTAATATGAGGGTAGTTGTTGCAGTAATTCCATCTAAATTCTCACTAAATTCCGCGTTGCTATGACTGCCAAAGCCTCCCTCAAAAACCCAAATAATTTCCCATAAATATGTGCAGAGAAGTCTGGTGAAAACTAACCACTTTGCTCTTTTCTGCTCATAAACCAATATTTATGTTGGACTTGGACCATTCGCTGCCTCAAAAAACACAAAAATCAGAAAAATAAGAAACCCTCGAGGAATATACAAAGGCCGCGCAAGTTGTTGGGTTGGTGCCCTCGGAATTTACTGAGCTCACCTTATAAGGTTGAGATGTTTTCAAAGCAAATTATACATCCACTTTCCTTCGCCAATACCCTTTCTGCAAAATTAATTACTTACACCATTTTTTTGTTTGCACGGCTGGTTTTGCTTTCGACTCATCCTTGAATTCCCACGCATCTTTAAAATAGAATAAATTAAATAAGAAATTAATTTTTTTGGTTCATCCATATTTAATGGTTCTCAATAATATATCATTTTCAATTCAAGTCCCAGCCAACATCATTTTCTTTTCTCGAGGCAAAATTAACGAAATGAAAAAGAAATAACTTCAAATGCGTAATTGTCTCGTCATGTTTCACATTGTGGACAAGCGATTATTAAGATAATTTGTGTAATTATTTTAACAGAGATTAAAAAGAAATTACAAGTTAATTAATAGTAATACTTTTTTTTTAAAAAATAATTTTGCATTCGGAAAAGGTGGGGCGAAGAAAATGTGCTATTACCCTGAATGAACATGATGTAACCTGTTGTATAGATGAAGGATCTGAAAAGAATTATTGGATCTTTCTGACTGGTAAAAACTATAAATGCCACCCTTTAGTTTAGAATGTTTATATACTCCTACATTTTACCAATTCTATATGGGATAATAAACCAATAAATATTGATTAAATAATGGTTTAAAAACTATAAAATTGACTCTTTCTTCTTACTTAAAAAATAGTTTCTACATAAAAGTTATTTTAACTTATTTTTATACACAAATTAAAGAAAAACCGAAGATAAAATTATATAGCATATATGTTCATTTTCCCATTAGAACTTTAAAAAAAATTATGTTCAAATTTAAAGACTAGAGGAGTAGGAGTTATGGAAAAATACATACGTATTTATATAACTCAAAATCATAAATTAAAATGAGGTACTTACCAACAAAAAAATTAAAGTAGTGTAGACTACTTTGTCGATGGGCGCAAGGTTCCTACGGTGCCACGATATCCTTTCATGATGTTGCAACACATCGTCACATGAAAGCCACAGCTTCAAAACTTTTACAATATTAAAATATAATTAACGGTAAACCAATAATAATTGATTAAATACTGGTTGGTCAAGAGTTTAATGCCTTCTTCTTCTTCTTCTTCTTCTTCTTCTATGTAACTAAATTTTGAGTTCTAAGTTGTTCATCACAGATCCTTTCCCCCAACTCATTTCTGTCAGAATAATCAAAATGCAGGCAACGTTATTCTTTCACGTTGGATTAAAGAATTGAAGAAGGTCAAACAAGATATATTTTTCCATCATATGCAGAGTTAATTAAGGAAGTTATATTTACAAGAGCACATCTGTAATGCAAGGCTGTACTTTAGATGAAGATGACTTAATATTGGTTTCTTGTATTCATATATGATTCTCTTGTTGATGCTGATGAGATCGTTTTTCAATGGTAAAGAGAAAGTTTAAAATTAGATTCAGGTTTCATTACCTATGAATTTACCTAAGAATTATTTCGATATTAGGGCTCAATTTCTTTTTTTGACATGTTTATATAAAGAAGAATTGTTGACATTTTGGCCTAGATGAATGATCAAAGTTTCATTAAAGATCCTAAATTAATGGAGGTTAAATTAAATCCTATCCATTAAACCAAGTTCAATTAGCATGCTAGTGTAGCTAGGTTTAACTAGACATATAGTATGATTAATTAAAATGTAGGTATGTTACATATATATATATATATATATATGCACGATTATATCATCAGTGCTTGAGTTAAATCAACAACCTTAGCATACATACATATATTCCCAATGCTATTTCTCTCTATAATTCATAATTATGTATGTTAATTTGGAAACCGGATATTAATTGTAATAACCCTTAATTAATGGTAGAATGTCCAACATTTTATTCCACTTTTCCTGTTCCTCCATTGTATATTTCTTCTTAGGCATGCATACAGCACTCTCCTCCCATAGAGAATATATCATGATTTATATATTTATTATTTAGCCATAAATTAGGAAAATATCAACAAAAAAAATATTACACCAATTATATTATGTACCATTAATTGGATATAAAGAGATGAAGAAAGAAGCACATGCGGAATTATGCATTAGGAAAAAAAAAATAACAAACATAATGTTTTCATTTATTTTTCCTTTTTCGAATGAAAACAAAAAAATCTTGGTTTATAGATTAATTATTATAAATTAAAAGTCTTGCTATCATAGTTTCATCATATTAGTATCATGTGAGTATAAAATGATAAGTGATATTTTAATTAATAACAATTAATCAACTATTAGTCATAAAAACCTAATTGATTTAAAAATAAATAAAAGAGCTTAATTGAATAATGATGTATTTGAATTTTTAAAAAAATTCATGAACTTTTTCAAACATTATGTCTAAATTTTTTATATGATTTATACAATAACCAAAAGGCAACGACAGAATCAAAATAACTCAAATTCAACCAAAATAAATGAATCAAATTGGCCCATGTAGGAGGACCAGCAATTAGAAACGGGCGACTAAATAGAATTTAATCCCCTGCCTGAGTCTTTAAACACAACAATTAGAGCAGTGGGGTTTCTATAGTGTAATCACCAATTATTCAGTAGGCTGAAAACTTAGGGCTTCACAGGTTGGGTTTGGGCCAGCCCAGTAGACAAGCAACTAGAATTCAATTGGAAGACCAAAAATATTTATTATGGAAATTCATTTATAAAGGTGTCCTTTTGATGTAATTATTAGTTTTAGGAAACTGTCTGCTATCCAAAAGGTAAAAAATTACAAGAAAAATGCCGATGTCTTAATTATTATCAATAATCGAGGAACTATTCTTTATGCATGGACAAGTATCTCAAATTGCAATGATAAAATAAACAAATAAAAAAGAGCTTTTTGCAATTTTTTTTATTAAATGATTACTGCTATCAAGAGAAAACAGAAAGGAAGGGAAAAAAGACAAATGAGGAAATGGCAAAGACAAAAAATACATAAACATACTATAGAGGAAGAAAATGATTGATTGATGAGTAGAAGTATGTTATCATAGAACATGTCATTAGTGAAAAAAAAAAAACAAATCTTTGACACAATAATCTAAATGTTGACCTTTTTCACTCTAATTTTTGTATTAATTAAAAATAATCACAAAGAATTAAATCAATAGTAGAATTTTCTAGGTTTTAATTATTTAGAAAAACATTTCGATATTTTTGAATATAAGATATATGCATTCACTATTAAATTAAAATATGAGATACATGCATTTATCATTACTATAAAGCTAAATACTATTATAATATACCATGAGACCAAAAGATTACCATTTTATATGTAGATAAAAATTTTCTCAATTTGTTTTAATTAATTGTTCAATGGTTTCAAATCTAGGATGAGCCACACAACAATTGAGAGGTTCAAAAGAGATGGAGATGATATAAATTAAAACCCAATAGTGTGAAGTTTATTGCCTTTACCTTTGATGATGAGCTGCTGCGACATGTGAGCCAGAATGGAAAGGCCAGTGGGAGAGAGAGAGATGTTGTATTTTCAACTTCCCCTTCTGACTTTGGTTTTCTTGGATTGACTATATTTAAGGCGAAGTTAATAAATGGGGCTAGTGACTCAGCAAGGTAGATCAAATGGGTGTAAAAAAAGTTGCTTCCCTCCTCTAACCTTGTATATATACACTCACATGGTTATGGCACCATTTGAAAGCTCCTTTTATAGCTGAAAGCCAAGAAAAAGAGAGAAGAAAGATAGAGAAAAGAAGCAAACAAGGGGGAACTTGAAAGCAAGGCCATGGGAAGACCTCCTTGCTGTGATAAAGTTGGTATCAAGAAAGGTCCATGGACTCCTGAGGAAGACATCATTCTAGTCTCTTACATCCAAGAACATGGTCCAGGAAATTGGAGATCAGTTCCCACAAATACTGGTATTACAGCAACAAACAGATCCAACTTTTTTCCTTGTTTTTTTTTTCTCTTTGTTTCTTCATGTTTTTATTAGCTTATGTGGATATTTATCAGTTCAATGAAAAATGGGAATTTCGTAGTTTTCTTTGGTCTTGTTAGAGTTTTGTCTGATTCAGAGTATACAAATGATTCAAATCTCTCTCTCTCTCCCTTATTTTTTTTTTTTTTGGGTTTTATAAAAGGATTGCTGAGATGCAGCAAAAGTTGCAGGCTCAGATGGACTAATTACCTTAGACCAGGAATCAAGCGAGGGAACTTCACTCCTCATGAAGAAGGGATGATAATTCATTTGCAAGCATTACTGGGTAACAAGTAATCCTCAATTATCATTCTTTTCCTATTCGACAGATCAAAAGAAAAGATTCAATACTTTGTTTCCTTTATAGTTTTTAGTGGACTATGTTTTAAGTGTGCAAATTTTTTACTTTTGTTTAAAGATGGGCAGCCATAGCTTCGTACCTACCACAAAGAACAGATAATGATATTAAGAATTACTGGAACACCCACTTGAAGAAGAAGTTAAAGAAGTTTCAGTCAGCGTTGGAACCCAACATGGCACAGGACTCAACTGCGACAAGTCCTCAGTTTGTTTCAAAAAGCCTCAATGAGAGAAGGAGCATAGATTTTGGTACCCCGGCAGCTTCAACTACTCTTAGGCTAAACCAAACCAGCTCCTCCTCATCTACATATGCTTCAAGCACTGAGAATATTTCGCGTCTGCTCGAAGGTTGGATGAGATCATCACCAAAGACTAACAGTAGTAACAGTACTACCCTTCTTAAAGAAAAATGGTCTCATCATCAAAATAATAGCAGCTTTGACAACAATGATAGTATCGGTAGTACTTCAGCTGCAGCTACAACTTCTCTTCAAGGGGGTTATAGACGGAAAGCGGAACAAGAATGTGGTGAGTTGATCTCTCATGAAGAGTTTGAGTCCATTTTATCGTTTGAGAACATGAACAATGTTGCATGGGACAAGTCTACATGTGATTCTACTTCAAAGGGTACTTGTCAAGATTCTGGAAATGATGATGACAAGGTCAACAATGTTACAATGACGCCGGAGACCAGGAAGCAAAAAGCTGATCAGAACAATAACAATAATCCTCCATTGTCTTTTCTCGAGAAGTGGCTCTTGGATGAGAGTTCTGGTCAAGTAGAAGAGATGAATCAGATGATGGAACTGTCTTCAATTTTTTAAGATTTTCATTTTCATTGTCTCTCTTTTGTTTTTCTTCATTTTCTTTCTTCTTTGCTCCTTCTTCCTACCTTCATTTCATTTTAAGCTTTATTGAAAAAAAAAAAAGTTTGAGTTTCTCTAGGGTTAAATCTTTCATTTGGGATTCTTAAAAAAGTCGGGATCTCTTAGTTTTAACAAAATGTAATTTCCCTTGGTGTTTCTGTTTGAACACTGAAGGTAGCCTTTCTCTTTGTTTCTTAATGAACTTTTCAGTTTGAGTACAATTAATTAATCAGCAACGGTTGATCATTCTAAGCAATCCAATGACCCCCATTTCTTCAAGTATCAATATCATAAACAGATCAAAACCTACAAAACTGGGTTCCAAATACATCTAGAACATTTCAATGGAAAGTAATGTCCCAAAGTGATCAATCTTATCTTCCTATCTTTGGTTTGTTGCAGGATGCATATAGGAAAAGGAATATATATAGGCTTAGATGGGTATCTAAAACTATAGGACCCTTTGAACACAATCTTCTGCCCTTTGATATTAACACCATAAAACTCTTAGGCCGAGCATAACTTTGCAGTAAATAAATGGCATAGTCTCTATAATTGAAAGTAAAACTATAGAAGCCTAGAAAAGCGACTATAGGCTTAATTACATGCCAGCTTTTGCTGCAAGTTAAGCGGATTTTATAGCAACACACACGCACGTATATATATATATAATTAATTACTTTTATATCTATCTAAAATTAATTTTATTAA